TACCATTGCACATGCAGAAGTACGGCCGTATGCATCGTAGTGACGTTGATTCGAGACGCCTAATCGAGAAATTCTGGTCAACTGTGAGATTCCTCGATGATCGTCTGCCAGTGTGCAATTCATGGAACGAAATTCTAGGGCTCTTAAAATGAGTTACTCAATATTTCTCCTCGTTTATTCAAATAACCAGAAGTGCTTCGGTCGCTCCAGATACTTTAACTCAACGAGGCCATATATGCAGTAGTTTCGATAGGTATACGATGCGTCGCATGTACCTCTCAAGGATGAAGATTCAGTGTCGGCGGATGCGATTACAAGGTCCATTAGCGACAACTGATGACTCATGTCGTACAACTTTGGCTTGATTAATTCATTGTACTAAGTAGCACAATGTAGAACGCAAGGAATCTAGATACTAAGTCGCTTACGGTAAACTGTAATTATTTTCGTTCCTTTACGCAGCTTTCCTAAATACAATGGTGAATATAAGGAATTATCTTATATTCTGATCGCTTAATTTTAGTCGGAAGTTGCGATTTATAGCGATCGCTGTGAACTTATAGATAGAGACAAAACTATACGAAGAACATCTCGTATATGAACGTTCTTAACATAAAGAAAGCATTTAATTGTTGCAGATGATATTGCTCTACCTTCGAAAATTCATTGGCAGATGATAAACCTGAGATATCATTCCTGGAACGAGGTCGCTCACCTATTTATAACTGGGTCGAGAGTTGGGCAATCATTTTGGTATCTTTCTCTCTCTCTCTCTCTCTCTCCTCCCTCTCTTCTATCTTTATCTCTCTTTCTCTTTTTCTTATTCTTTCTCACAGTAACCATGTTCTCGATCCCGACTTCTCTCGGGGATCAAGATCCCCCCTGTACCCAAGAACGAATGTCGCCTTGAGCGAAATCACACACCTGACGCGGCCTGTAACCCGGCGGGTTCTTTAAAACAAGCTTCAAGTAAAACGAACAAAGTATTGAACGGAAAATTACGCCTATATCTTTTAAATAAAAGCAAATGTTTCTTATATCCTCGATACTTAATTGGATCGAAAAATAACCGACGTCCTCATTAACGATCTGGCAATATATTAGTAAATGAATAAATGAATAAATGAATTGGTATTCATACTCTTGTTATACCAGTATTATATTAGTATTATATTCATAACACTGAAAATTATTGCTTATAATGGAGTTATATTAACATTTTTTTTATCAGCACGTCTTTCATCTTTAGGTCACATTAAAACAAGGAAATTGACTGAAAGTATATAGCGAGGTGCTTTATTAAAAGTTCTTCAGAACATGTCACAGAGGAGACAGAGAGATCCATGCTGGGCGATCACGAAGAGAGCGTCGAGAACAAGTGATGAGAGAAACCGGGCTCAAATATCGTAATGCTTCTGCGATACTAATTAGTCAGCCGCCGAAAGCAATTAAGCACGAGAACAGTAATTAGATTGCGTTATAGCAGATATATCCTCGGATATATCCATTCTGTACGACTACGTGACCCTGGCCGTAAGTCGTTGAAAGTCACGGGAAAGGTAACGGTTGCTTAGCGATTGTTTCGAAATCGTGGTGCTCGGTTAAGTTCAAGTTGTATGTACCAACCAGCACCTTAGTCAATGCATAATGCCTATATATGAGCTATTGAATCCAGACGTAACACCAAATATCTTATACATGCTATGTATCAAGATCTTAGACTCCCAAGTAAAAGTGCTTTTCACGGGTATCTCACGTGAGAATTTGTTAAATTAGATACATAATAATAGAAGATCGGAAAGTAGATATAAAGCGTGTAATGAATTTCGACTCGCAAATTTGAAAAATTGAATGATTTTACTTATAAATAAGTAGAATATATGAATAATATGTGAACAAAATATAGACTTTATTATATTTCTAACATTATAAATAAGTAGAGTATAATTATAGGAATGTAAATAGGCCTGTTCTTTTTGGCTGAACTGGTGCAAAAGTTCAGCCAAAAAGAACAGGCTTAATGATTCAAAAGGTTTTTAATTGCTAAATGTCTCGCCAGCGTGAAGAGAAATGTTCGAATTGCTATGCAAAATGATAAAAAGATCATTCTATGCCAATTGATAACACGATGATATGCACACCTAATAATGACCTAGCAAATCGACCTATCACTAGGAAATCTAGTAACCCAGTGACGCATGAGAAACTCTCGAAACTAATCGTGACGTGAGAACCATACCTGGATTTAGATGCGAGTAAAAGACGCGATCGACACGGAACTTTACGACTCTCTAATAATAAGACGATGAACACTTGGCGCTATCAACGCGGAGAAATTATGCTTTTATGAGCTTAAAAAACGATTTTATTCATCCGCTTGCACAACGCGGGCCACAATGCTAAGTTTCATGAATTTTTTTTTATTCACTCTATGCACACCGCTTCGCATTACGTGGAAGAAATACTATGATATTTTCGTGGAAGAAATACTACAAGAAATACTATGATATTTTCTATTTTCAAAATAGTACTATACTATAAGGTACTGTATTTGTGATTTATGATACTTTATGATACTTTAAAGAAAAAAAATTGAGTAAAATTCTAAGTAATTATCTAAAATAAATAAATTACTAATTATATAAAAATGTAAGTATAAATATATAGAGGAAGAAAACCGATACCGACATACCACTTTGTTTTTAGATACAGACAATATTTCTTAAACAAAAGGTAAAAATACAGCTTCAAAAACATAAATACAAACTAAAAAGTGTCTTTTATCAGATAGTATAAGCAGTTTTTATAATACTGTTTGCAATAATTAAGTTTTTCGTAAGTTGTGCGAAAATGAGCGTCTGACAAAATGGGCTCTAAAACTGACATAGTAAGCAATAATAACAACGTTCCTATTCTATAAATAAAGATATATTCTATATATTCTATAAAGAAAACTAATTTATGAAACTATAAACATTTAAAATGACATAATATTATCAATAATACAGTCACTACACTGGAAAAAAATTTGCAGATTTTAAATAAATATTTATTCCAATAGTACTAACGAAATATTTATTTATAGTAAATAAATATTTATTCAAAATAAGACAGTTATGTTTAAATTGAATAAATATATGTTTACATTTAGTAAATATTTTGTTAATACTATTGGAGTAAATATTTATTTAAAATCTGCAAATTTCTTTTCTGTGTCTTATTTTAATTACGTAATTTGCAAAAGAACACCATAAGAATTTTCTTCTCGGATTCATAGAATTTGTTTTTAGCTGATTTAGTATAGAAATAAACCACAAATATGTGAATTATGAGTTTATACTTCTTTAATTAGCTAAACAGATCACAGTTTTTATTAGTATTAATAACGTGCAAAGGTTAGTTTCTAAGAAATAAGGGGATGTCGCTCTTTAGGAGACCTATGTCAGTATCGGTAACCTTCCTCTACAGTAAAATAAGTTAATATTACTACACAAGCAAGAATCTATAAATTAAGTAATTTAAATTTAAAAGAGTAATCTTTAATCGCGTACAAATAATGTAGAGCTTAGCTACATAGCATACATATCTTGAATATAAAATACAAAAACGTATAAAGCAATAAATAGAATAACTTGAAATTGTTAGGAAAAACGATACTTGTTCCAATCTCACAATCAGTGGTATTAGTATAACGTTGCACTTGGCTGTATTATGAACGAAAGTAACTCCTCTTCCTCTCGAAGCAATTTCGCGTCTTATTTTTCCCCGTTGTTCTTCCCGCGGTCGTCGTGGTCGTTGTTACAGAGGAGTGTAATGATGCATGACAATCGCTTTTTTTGCATCGACGCATTGCCTCCTCTTCGCGCATTCTTGTATCTCATGCTATGTTTTGTACAAATAATATTTCTTGTCATATTTTATTCACATGCAAATCTAATATATTTTCATTTAGCTATATGCTTTTTGCTTAAAACTAATTATTTGCGGGCTATTATCGCGATGTCCATTGCACGATGGAGTCGTCTACGCTGATTAAAAGAATCACAGGTTTTACTTTACTCCCAAAACTTACTATCAATTGCGTTCTTTTCTTTTTCGATGACAATCATATTTTGTCAGTATATGTAAATACTAATTATCAATGTCCACATCGCCATAATCCAACGTATCGTTCTAGAAAAATACGACATTATACCTACACATATTTATGATGTATTGTCAAAGTAAAATTCTTTTTATTGCATCAAGTGAGATTTTAGCGTAGTGCGAGAAAGAAACGCGCTATTTTGCCTCAACCTCCTTTCCAGCTAGTTATTTTTCTTCTATGTGGGACTTAAGGACATCCGTTTCGAGAGATTTAGTTGTATGCCTATCCTCTCGACCCGATTAGGAATGACGTCCGCGTACCGCGACCTCTTCTCGACCTCTGGCCATCACAGATCGAGGAAACAATCAACTCTGCCCGGATGCACCTGAGACATGCACTTTCCCCTACAACCGTCCGAGAATGCCGATTTTTTCGGCATTTCCATCTCGTCGGCTCAGTTTCGAACGGCCGCTGGCCGGATGACTCGTCAAGGAAGCAGAACACTCGCGATGTATTAACGATTTCGAATGTGCTCTTTATGCAACGCGGCCGTGGCGCAGTTTCGCTCGTGAGAAAAAAAAGAATGTTTCGGACCTTCCTGGAAGACTGGAAAGTTGCCGCTGCTGTCGCGGTGATTTCTCTTTTTTGAAGCTTCTCTCTACCGGCTTATGAACGATTTTCGTATTCAGCATTAAAAATAAAAATATAAAAAAGGCTTCTTAAAATTAGTGGAATTGACGAATCAAAATTGATTATCATTTTAAGATTGAAGTACTTTCACTATTATGTTACAGAAATATCTCACAGAAAAGAAAAACAAAGTATTTATTTTAAAATATGAAAACGCGTGTAAATGGAAAAAAAATCAATAAATACACATTCGAATTGTTTAAATACTATTAATGAATTACATATTACAAAGTGTACAAATTCGTAGCGTAGTTTAATACGTTGCATATACATTCTATTGGACTAGATGTAACTATGAATTACAAATCATTACAGAAACGTTTGTGATCACCCTAAAACTTATGCAGAAATCGCCAAGTCGTAATACATACGTAATATCGTATTGATTAGCGAGTTACATCTTCACCAATCATACATATTATGACTAGCTTTTCAGTTTGATTATTTATTGATCTATTTTGCACATGGGTACGCGAACCAAAGTGTTGTTATATATTTAATGTACATCACGGAAGGGCCAAAAATGCCCTATTTACTATTTAATGATAATTAATAAAATAAATAAAAATAAATATCACCATGATTATATGAATGAAAATCAACGTGAGACTTAAAAGTTATCTGACTTCCGCCGACATCCCGTTCTTCCCATTAGCCGTTAATTAATGAAAAAAAAAAGAGAAAAAGAAAATATCAACGATCACTAGTGATGATGATATCCAGAATATGCTTGGCCGTGCGCGTAATGAGAATCTTCCCAATTGGAAGAAGCACCATTAGCCCATCCACCAGATACGGAATTGGACCATCCATTGCTGACGGGACTTGACCATCCACCGCTGACAGGATTTGACCATCCGCTCCAGCCACCATTGTAAGGAGTAACGTCGTGGTGGTTTTTGCCTGACCAGAATGTTTTCATAGCGACGAAGGCGGAGATGATGAGGGAAATGATGGACGCTTGGATCGCCTTTTTCGCTAAGAATCCGATGACAAAGTATGAGAGAACTCCCAAAATACCAAGCTTTATTTTCGCGGCAATCAGGAGGGGTATGATTCCTTTTAGAGATCCTTTTTTCTTGCCTCGTGCTAGAATGTTAGAAGAGATTTATTAAATTAAGATCAATTAAATTAAGTTATTCTTTTAAATGATTGTAAGACACGTAATGTCAATTTAATTTTGTCGTAACACAGAAATAAAATGAAAATTAGTGTGAAAATTATTAGCGATAATTTATTAAAAAATTCTAATGCTACCTTCAACAATCTCGTTGACAGCCTGATGAATTTCTGGAGGAGCAGATTCACTGAAGGCACGAATCGATTTTTGGATTTTCTCAAAAGCAGATGCAAGATTAATCTGAAAAAATTTGTGGTTTGTATTCAACCACGCTGTTTCTGAATATAAGATGCTAAGAGAGATAAAAAAGTTTATAAATCATTAAAGTGATATTAAACCGTTACATTAGGGTGCATTACGGATTTCCCGAGTGACCCCTATATATCATTTAATCCTTGTTTAACACATTCGATAAACAGCAACAATTATGTAATAGTTTTAGTAATTTTTTATGTACCCTAAGACTGCGACCGGTCAAAAACTGCCCAGTTTCATCGCTAATGAAGTTTTCGAGAGAATTTTGTCTTTCCGCGATATTATTAGCGGCCTCCATCTCTTGATCATAAGCAAGTTCCTTGATAGATCTGGCATTGACATTACTCTTCACGAGACTGACTCCGTTTATAAGCTCTAGTTTATCCTTGGAAAAGAATTCTTTGGCGGTCCTATATAGAGTCTTCTGCACGCAGGATATGCTGTCTTGCTTCAGGCACTCGTCGATACTTTGACCGGATACTACACCGGTGGTGAAAACAACCGCAGTTGTCAAAATTAAGAATTTCTTCAGTAGTTTCATGATTCTTAGCGAATTCCACGAGGCGTATGATAAAAACACCTGATTGCAGCACGCGTTTATAGGAAATATAAGAAATCCGTAGATACCGATGGATCTACGAAGTTAAAATTCACCGAATAAACTTCGTGTGGAGTCAAATTTCGTGTGGTCCATGAGACAATCCGTTTAGCTTATATTTAGTGGGCCCCTCCTTTACGGTCTCTACCACAGACTCCCACCGACTTCTTTTTTTTCTACCTATTTGGCATGCATGAATACGTGTTCACCCAATAGACGATAAGTGTACTTACGACCGAGGTTCGGCTATGCCACCTATCATGACCTGCGACCTACCTACGATAAAATAAATAAAGGCCGGGCATATAGGTGCTATAAGGGATAACGCCTTGAGCGTAAAATCGCTTTCTTCCAACAACGATCTTCTTAAGTATACTGAACTAACTTTACATTGCATTATAGGATATGCAATTTTTAGTTGAATGTATTAGATGTAGAGTATTAAGAATTCCGACCAAATACGAATATAATATATAATAGAATGTAAAAACAGACTACACAATTATGCAATATCATATTACTAGTAAAATTATTTCAATGTTATGATTATATAGAAGATTATATGAATAGAATATAAAATATTTCTATTTTTATACATAGGCATATACATATATAGTACTTATTTTTTTGACTTTAGTTGTTACTTAATATTTAATCTTTAATTTCGTTGAATTGAATTTTATAAATAATATGAGTTTAACATTATTCTCATTTCATATAAGAAATAATATTTTAATATATAATAATATAAAATAATAAATAACTTAGTATTTTCAATAATATTTGTTTTTGATACTTTAATAAATTTTTTAATTTTATGAAACATATATGTGTGATAATTACTTTAAATAATGTTAATATTTAATTCATGCACATATAGATAAGAGACGATAAATTATTAATTTTTAAAGGTAGACTATGTTCGCTCGAATTCAATGATATACATTTCTAGTTTGTCCTGATTATTTTACACATTTACATATTTAAAATTGGAGAACGGATGAGACCTGAATTTCAAAAATGTTAAATCTTACGTAAATAAACTTTAGAAAAAACTCTTTCAACAATCTCTTAAACTCCAGCTTTAATTCTAATTGACGTCGGTACATGTCTGATCTATCCTAATTTATATTAACATTACTTTGGTTCATTATTATCTTTAACACAAAAAATGAATAATTTAATAAGAAATGATAGCTCCACGTACCTACTTATTTCAACTACAGATATTATTTCAATTGAGCATAAAGTAATATATGAATTACGAAGATATTGAAAAATTTAATTGCTAAGCCCGTCTAGCTATAATGCATTTAATTTCTGCAAACATCAACAAGTCATGTTAAATAAGTTTATATAACAGCCTATTGCATTGTACTTTCCAATAAAGAAAAAAAATGATAGTAAATAATAGACGAATAACGTAATCTTTTCGTCTGATTAAATCCTATACTCTTACTACTGAAAACTTCATTTGTAAAATTAGTATATGTCGCTACACGAGACTCGTATAAACGCGTATAAGCAAATGGTAATATAGCTAGCGACACTTAAGTAACTCAATTAGCTTTTTAGCGATGAATTATCATTGCTCATAAATCCTTCTGCGAGTCGTTCGGCGTTTAAGGAGCAGATACGGGACACGATCGATATGAATGAAAGAAAACTGGTATAGATCAGGTTCAAACATCCCGGATCCGACCTTCATTGCGGCGCACGCGGACACCACTTTCTAGTGTGACCCTGCAACTCTCACGGGCCAACGGATAACGCTTCTTGTCATTTTCATTTCGTTTCTTCTTGAGGGAAGTATAAAGCAGTACAATGCGACAATCAAGAAAATTTTCACATTCAGTAAGCGCATATGTGCGGCGTGGGTTTAAATTCCGAGAAAGTAAAACCAATAGTCTATATAGGACTAGATCTATAAACTATCAATGTGAGGACGCGTACTTCCATAACTAATCAAAATTTCCAATTTGTGGAAATATAATTGAAAATATATGTAAAATATAAAATATTCATTTACCCCTTGGAAAGAGAGCAACGTATTTAAAACAGGAATTAAACTTTTTTTACTTAGAAAGTATTATATTAGACGTTTTCTATAGAAAGTGCGTTCTCTCTCTCTCTCTCTCTCTCTCTCTCTCTCTCTCTCTCTCTCTGTCTTTCTACTTTTTTTATCTTTAAATCGGTTAAAGACATGTGACTTAGAACTACAAAATGAGAAACGCGTTCCACATATTTTTATAGTAAACGACCTAATATTATGAAAAAGATAAACATCATCCGATTATAAATTTGCAAGACTTTCTAACATTAATATTTTTATCTTTTAACATTACACATTACAATCATTACTTTCCTTTATCATTTACATGTTCAATAAAATGAGATTATAAGGTAGAAGAGAGGAAGTGAAAAAATTGCATTCATTGTACATTATACATTTTACGTCCATTCTCTACCATTACTAAAGATCGCACGCGTCTCTTTGTTAATTTATGTACATAATCACTATGGAGTAAAGAAGGAGCACTCTCGTCTCGAATTCGGTCAACAAAGTCTCTCATAAGAAGGGATTCAATGAAAAGCAAGTGCAACAACAACACAGTTCTCATTCCCGATCTTACGTCAATGCTCATTCATCCTTTCTCGGTCATTGGGTAGCACTCAGAATCCTTTCGTCAATCCTTCACTCCCAACAGAAGAGCAAGCCTTAAAAAGTAAAACCAAAGTTTCTCCTGTACATACAATGACAGCAATGATCGTTAAACCACAGGCACGCCCATCGCAGTAAAATCACTATCCTTTACGCGGGAATACAACGTTGTAGATGCGATATATCATTCCGTTCAGTGAAATGCAGATTGAAAACGGATATTTCAATTAAACAGATTACAATAACTCTCGCTCTTACCACACAAATTTATTAAAGTGATTATTATTGAAAAACCGATTTACTTGATTAACTCCTTATTAAAATATTAAAGTATCAAAGAAACATGTTAAAGGCAAATTGCATATATAAGAGATAGAATTGATATAATTTGTTCTATTAAAATCAATAATTACATATTATTTTATTAAAAAGATGACCTGGGACTTATATTCAAATTTATCGGTTCTTGCAATTTTCTTTCTATTTCAATTCCATTTTCACAGCAATAAATAATTTGTTTTATGTTAGAACAATTGTTAATTATAATTTTACAATTATAGTAAAAGTTAGAATGTTATTAATTTTTTAATTTTCAAACTTTTTCTTGATAAAGTCTTATGTGAAAAAGTTTAATTCTACATTTTTTAATTACTTTTTCATAAAAAATTACCCTCTTTTCGATTGCATTACAAGTTTATATGTAAATGTCTACATATTAAGGTCACCGACTTTTGGAAGGCATGGTATTTTTCCAGATCAATATGCCAATGAAACAAAATGTTCCCACGGTATCTAGAGAATCGCTCAAAAAGCGTATCGATTTAGGACAGCAACGTCCATAAAAGCGTATCTAGCAATCGTGTTGCGTTTCCTGTCCTAAATCGGAAAGAACCGGTGGTCTTCGATATTCTAGCCTTCGAACTTGTCAGTAACTGGTTTAATGTCTGTCAATCGATTGTGCTAGGAATTTCTGATGCAATGTTCAATCAATTCCATTGGCCATCGACATGCGTACGACCTGAAAAATCGACCTGTAGCCAACCAGATCAAATTTGAATTTTAAATTTCTTTACGAAGTTTGTAATGAGTGTGGAATGTAACGGGGCACTCTTCCGCGCCCAACTGGTTCTTCTCGTCTATGGACCATAACGCGGTTGCTGTGCCAGAAACTGTGTGCCGTAACTCTTTCCATGTTGAGCATTATGAGCATTAGACAAATCAGCTATATATATATATTTATATATATAATATTAATAGCTATATACATATATAATATTATTAGACTATTTTAATTAATAATAAACATAGAAAACCATCTAAGTCATATTTCTATTATAGTTAAGAATAATTAATAAAGGTAGAACAGAAGAGTTGAAACAAAATAAATGATAATCCGAATGACAATAGGTTGTCCATTCATTCCTTTGTACAGAGTTGTAAAAGTTATCTAGAAGGACCAAAGAAAAGAAAATGAATCGTTCGTTTCCAATCACCACGTTGACAGTAATTGCAATTGATTACTGCTTTCAATCTTATTAAATATAATGAACCCGATTTGATCGTAATTAGTGAGTATAACGCACTATCTTCATTCTTTCTAGTCACTAGAAAAGTAGTGCAATGGATATAGGTAGAAAATTAAGAGCATAAAAATGTACAATTAAATGGTGAATTTCGTAAAAAAAATTGATTTGAATAATCTATAACGAATTATGAATTAATTGATCCGACATTCCACATAGGTGGATTTTAGCGATCGCAGACTATAGACGCTGAGAAGCGACCGGCTCTGTTCGGGACTGCATCGCCGTCTGAGCTGCTTTCAGTCCGAATCTCCACGTTTTATGATATTCGAAACGTAAAAAAGGAAACGATTGGTATGTATGCCAGTGGGTCTTAACCGGAGCTCTTCCTTCCACGCGGCCACGTGGAGAAAGAAGGAGCCGAGAACTGCAGTGGGAGGAATCCAATACAGACAGAGAAGACGTGGCATAGAGAGATGCGTAAAGAGAAAGAGGATCCGTTCCTCTCACACCACTCGATCGAGCCTTTCTTCCATCACGCCTCTCCTCTACCTCTTTCTCCTTCGCTGTTTTTTCCTTCCATCGAACTCTCCAATCCGCTTTGGGCATGGATCCACGTGCACGCGCGCGGGAATGTCGCGAATAAAAACAAGCACCGGCATTTGTGTCTACAGACGTGTTCTCGTAATTTATCTTTGAGTCTGAAAGACTCAAATTAGCTTTCTCAAGATTCATATTGAATTCCTCGTACAAATTGCTGTAGAATCCCGCTACATTCCAAGCTGAAACGATTCTAAATTTCACGAAATGCGATCTTGAATGAGCAAATATATGAAATGCATAATGAAACACCGTATTATTAATCAGATTCGTTACTGTCGT